GGTAGCAACGGCGGCGACCACTGCGCGGCGGCCGCCCCGCCGCGCGCGCAGCCAGGGCGGCTGCCGGCCACCAGCTGGGTGCTGCTGTCCGTCCCGCCGCCGTGGAACGATGACCTCACCACCCACGTCCTGAGACTGCGTGAGCACCTGGAGTGGCACCGCCGCGTCGGCTTCACCGGCCACATCCTGTACTACGACCCCGCCCAGGCCACCCGCCTGGCGCGCGACCCCGCGTTCATGCAGCTTCTCGGCAGCTACCGCGTCGCCGTCGTGCGGTGGGCGCAGTTCCCAAAGGTGGCCTGGCTGCCCTGGGACGCGCAGGGGCTGCGGCTTAGCCACGCGTACCTGGCGCTGTGGGGCTGGGACGCAGGGCTGCTCCCGATTGACGTGGACGAGTTTTTGCTGCTTGAGGACTCAACCCAGCACCCGGCGGCCGCCATGCCGCCGGGCTCAGCGCTGCGCGCGCTGGTCCGGCACTGCGGCGGCGGCGCGGACGGCGTCACGTTCGAGCGGTTTGCCGTGTACTGCTCCTCGGGCAGCGCCTGCCCAGGCGGGGACGAGGCGAGCGTGTGGCGCGCCCGCGAGCCGCCGGCAGCGCTGGCCGGCGCGAATGCATCGGACGGCGGGTGGTCGTGGGCGGACGGCGACCGTTCCGGCTTGGGGCCCAGCCGTTTGGCTGCATATAGGGCCGTTGAGGCGGTACCCCACGTTGGGTCTAAGGCATGGAGCACCTCTGCCTGCACGTTCCCTGCAAGCGTGCACGAGCACCGCCTGTCCGGCCTGCGGGGCTGCGCGCACGTCCAGGCGCGCCCGAGCTGCGGGCGGCTGCTGCACGCGATCAACTCTTTTCACTTTCGCGACAACTGGCTGGCGCCGGGCAGGGCGGTGGCGCCGTTCCGCCACCCTTGGTGGCCGGCGGTGCTGGTTGCGAGGCCGGAGGCTGCAGTGGGGGTTGCCACGGGCGAGCCCGAGGGTGTGGCGGGGCCAGCCGGGGTGGGGCTGGACGCGTTGGGGGCCGCGGCCCAGGTAGGGGCTGGTGGGGCGGCGGGTGCTGCGGTTGCTCAACAATGACTTGCTTTTGTAAACTTGTGGTGCTGGCGCGCTTGGAGGCACTACGCTTGCTGCACCTACGCACTCCTGCACACTATGATAACTTGCTTTTGTTGACGACATTGCTGAAAGCCCACAAACTTGATTGATTCCATTGCAACTGGTGTGTTGAGACGGCCCAGTGACTGTTCCCACTGTGCAGCCAAACACCAGCAGAGTTTTACGGGTGAACAGTGCATGTGCTATGGAAGCCAGGTTCAGGGATTAACAGCTGCTGACACTGCAGGCTTTGCAGCCGCTCACATGACCACGCAAGAATGGGATTGCAACGTCACAACAGCAGCCAGCAGTTCAAAGCATGCATGCATGGTTATTGCATCGCAATGTGTGGACATGTGCGTTGGGGGACATGTATGGGCTGTTGACCCGTGCGTATGGTACAGCCGTGCGTGGCTGCAGCAAAGCAATAATGGTGGCTTTGCTGACGAGTGGAGGTGATTAGTTTACGGCTGGGCAGCCACGCAAAGAATGCCAGGAATGCCAACCTATTTGAGCCGCGTGGCGCTCCCTGGCAGATGGACAGCCGGGGCGCCTTGCGGCCAGAAGAAACCACAGCGGCGAGGACCGAGGCCCCCAACTTTCCCGCTGCTTGTTCAGACTGAAGCAAAGCTGATCAGGTGCCCGTCAAGCTGCACGGTCGCCCTTGGGCTGCTGCAGTTGCGACTTGCGCCTCCTGCGGCCGAGGAAAGGGGTGGTGGCGGGTGCCTGCAGCGCCAGCTTGATACACACAGACTTTCCTTCCCGACTGGCCCCTCTTGCACACAAACACACTAAAGCAAAGACGGCAGAGGTCGAACACATATGATCTGATAATGATCCAATGCAAAGCCTGGGTGGCGTGCGCAGCCCCTGAACCCCTGTGACGCCACCCCCACCTGCTCAACCGCCTCATTTGTGGCAGGGTGATTGCGAGCGCCGCCATGGAGCCCCACAGCGCCGCCACAGGGAGCAGCAGCATGTAATGCGAAAGCCCCGAGGGCTGCCGCTCGACCCCCTCGACCCCCCCTGCGGCGTCAGCCCCTGCGTATCTTGCCGCGATTGCGCGGACTGTGGCAGCTCGCAGGCGCACCGGGTGCGCCTCTGGCAGCTGCTTGGCAGCTTCCTGCAGCTTCGGGGCTTGTGGCACCAGCGGGTCCCTAAGGCGGGCCCCTTTCTGGGGAGCAGCTACGGGCCTTGCGGCTGCTTGAGTGCCACCTGCCGGCCGTGTTGCGGCGGCATTGAGCGTTGCGCCGCGCGCAGCAGCCGCCCGTGCAGCCGCTGCCCGCACGGCAGCCGCCGGAGCCGTGTGGAGCGCGGCAGGTGCTGCTGCTGCTGCTGCTGCTGCTGCTGCTGCTGCTGCTACTGCTGCTGCTGCTGTGCCCGCTGTGCCTGCTGCTGCTGCTCCTGCTGCTGCGCCTGCTGCTGCTGTGTGGGACGCGGTCGCGGCCGCGGGGTCCCTGGTCCACTGCGACGCTACGCGGCGGCCGCGCTCCTCCGCTGTTTCCTGCGCAAACACCAGGGATGAGTTGGCACAAGGCAGACCCGGCATGCAGAGGTTTGGTCAAGCGCAAGTGCAAATCCAGAGTCAGAAGAGGCGCCCCCCCCCCCGCGCCAGTAAGCCCCCACCTCACCTGGCGAAGTGCGCCGCCCCCGTGCCCCTCGTTCTTGCCTTCATCGCCTTCCTCCTCCACGTCATCCTCAAAACCGCCCTCGCCCCTC